GTCGTATCGGCGGTAAATCCACCTAAACGCGCTTTCCCCCTTCCTCTTATTGCGCATAGAATGTGAATACGTGCGCGACCACGGACAAGGTTTGTCACTTTAACCGCGAAAGGGAAGTTCCCACGATGTTTATCGACGATCGTCCTATGAATCATATGAGAAATGGAATAATACTCTATTAAAGAGCTTTAAAAATTTAAAGAGTAAAGAGTTAGTATTCTCATTAAACAAATTTGCTTAGAGAAAATGCAGAAATAGAAGAAGGAGATTTAACCACGATTAGTTTTAAATATACATACTTCTGTCCTATCTACTGGGGTTTATGGGGGAGGGCGGGCGCGGGATCCTTTATGCGTTTCTAAATTTGCTCAACGCAAATATTAGCGACGTCTTACCCAAAGATCGTACGACTGCTGCATATGCAGGAGAGAGTGAGAAAGTGGGAGGGAGAAAACGGTGAAAAAAAAAAGACAAAGGTCGTAAAGAAAGTCGAGTATTATATGGGAAGAGTCGAGGAAATATCGCAAGAAGAAGCGGGTAAATCGCGATAACTCGTGCGAGCCTCTTGCCTAGGAGGGAAAAGCGAAAAGTTTTGTCGAAATAAGGAATAAGAAGAAATATCTCCGAACGAGATAGCGAGAAAGGTTAGCAACGATGGTTGCTAGCGGAATTCTCTCGGTGCTGCAGCCACGGAAAGGATGGTTGAAATAACGTCATGGTATTTTCTTTCGATTCTACCGACCGAACTGAAGGAATCGGAAGGTCCGACGATCGCCTGAATCGACGGAACGTATCGCGATAAGGTATCGAAGGAGGAGGCTCGTTAATTTTTCGAAAAGTTGTTAGAAATCCGCACTCGAGAAAAACATCATCTTTTTGGGCAAATGGAATCGGGGAAACGATTCGAATGGAAAACTCGATTTCGCGATTTTACTTTTGAAATATGAAAAATAATAAAGCGAAAGAGAGAGCTTTCCGAGAATTTTTAGGATTTTGAAAAATTAATACGATAGCGGGACTTATAAAGCTTGCGCTTATATTTTTCTCTTATCCACTCTCTTCCATCAGCATTAAAATATTTTATTATTATTATTAGTATTATTATTATATATCCTAAAAAAATGAAAACCAATAAAGCTTTCAAATATTATGCCGATTACTTGCAAAAAAAAAAAAAAGAAGAAAAAAAAATAGAAAAGGAACATTTTTGTTTATAATTTCTTCGAATAAAAATTTCACGGGAGTCAGTACAATTATTGATTTTTCAATATTTCCGAATGATAATTTTAACTTCGCAGACACGAGGATTCATCATCGGACTGCATACATCTACGATACGTCGACGCTAATTTAATTTAGTCACAACGACCAAGGTAATGCGTGTAATTTCTCCCTCGTCACCAGGTACGTATGGACGCACGCGTTAAAAAGTTATCGTTAATTACAACACATTCTATCGTCATACATAATTGGAAGTTCTACGGTAATTAGCGCGATAATCCAACGCACGCTCCTTTGAAAATTTGATAACGCCCAGCTTTTATGACGGGCCAAAGCTTCGCATTGAGACGCGTGCTTATTATTTGCCCAACAGTGATTTGCCAACGGATAAAAGGTAGGCAAAAAGAAAAACGGAAAAAAAATGGAAATCTTCATCCAACTGTTGCGAAGATCTCGCGCAGAAATGAACGTATGACGTCACGGATACGCGGGGATAGTGGAACCAATTAAAAGTTCGCGGCCAACGAAGCCAATTATCTACATTGGCGCAAGGAGAATATGGTTAGGGTGCTTCGAAAATTGTTTTTGTTCGAAAACGCGAAATCGCGTTTGTTTTGTCGAACGAAAGATGACGACGACGACGAGAAGGAAATTCGAGAGGAAGAAGCAAATATTTTCATGCTTTTAAAGGAGCTACTTAACAATTTTTTTCACTGTGTTTGACGGAAAATATGTGTTCCGTAAAAGAGCAAATTATAAAATGAGAGAGACATTTTATAAATTGTTGTATTGTGCAACTCGAATAAAGCAAATGGACCTCCTTGTCGTTATATTAGGATAATCATCTTATGCACGGTTTAATTTGTTTTAAACTTATAGAAATAAATAATACATTAGTTAATGAATAAATATTAAAGCGAAAATAATGATAATAAAAATTATATTATCAAACTTTTGTTTACTTAAAAGAAATAAAATATTAGATTATTGCGTGTCTCTTATCGCGTAATAAATTACATTAAACATTATCATTTTGTAATCATATGCTTTTAAGAGATAAACAAAATATCGTCGAACTTTTCTTCTAAATCTTCAAAATCAATTTTTTGAAATATTTTTTCGATTTATAACAAAGGACGCAATTATTCGCAGATAAAAAAGAAACGAAGTTTTTTTTTTTTTTACCATAAAAGCAAATACGAAAGTTTCCCAAGGACGGATTAAAGTGTACAAGTTTTTAGTAAAGGGGAATCGTGAAATTAGCGACAAACGTTTTGCGAAATCAAAACGTTATAAGCTTTTTCATGGAAAAAAAAAAAAAAAAAAATAATTGTCCTACATCATAGACTCTTTAATTTTTGTCGTTTAACAGCAGTTTCCTTCGTAATGCTCGTAAAAAGAACAACGACGAAGACTAAGCGAAAGATGATGAACAATCTTAACGTTATAAGAATTAAATCGAGCTAAAAAAGGCGGAATAAAAATTTAATTTACTCGTAGATATGATAAAATCGATTTCCATAATTCGTGTCTACATGTTTATAAATGCAACGAATCGTGGTATATCTGGATTTAAAACGGCGTACTCTTGTTACTCGTTAACGATAGTTGGATAGCTTACTTATGGAGAAGGTGCGTTTTCCGTCAACGAAAAACAAATAGCGTCCGCGCGCGTATCCCACGCTTTCGACATTTTCCATCGTACGTAACAATCGATATCGGAGAGATAATGAATAAACGAGGAAAAAAGAAAAAAAGAAAAATAACAGAATTCGTATCAATCGAAATCAGTTCTATGCATTCGCCGTCGCAAAACCACACATTAAAACTGATCGGAAAAAATAGGACTCGTGCAAAAGTATCCAATAGGAAATATACTTTTGTAATATTTTACTTTCTAAATAGAAATATTTTTAACGACACTTACACTTTTACGTTCGGAATCAATTATATTCTCTATAGTATCGTCGAAATGAGAATGTAATTATTCTTCAAGTTGAAAAATATCCATTACTATTTTTGGCAGTATGATGAGAATGGGTCAGCGAAGAGAAACCAATCGATCACGCGTTTCGTTCTCACAAAATTGTAAAAAAATGTCCCGTTTGAAATTTGTTCGAGTTCGAACAATCCATGTATCAAAGAAGGATATTCTGTTTGAAACAATGTACTTCTTTTTTTATTAATCGGAATAGACATCCGTAATATAGTCCACGTTATTCCATTCGACAAAGTTAATTTCATTAAGATACTTTTGTAAGTTGACTTATAAAGAAGTAACATATTTCGTATATGAAAATAGATGAAAAATTCGTCGAAAGGAAATATTTATCCGAGGTGAGAATGATCGAAGGAAAAAAGGAGGAGTAAGCAAAAGGTAAAGGAATTGCAAAGTTCTGAATTGTTTTTTTTTTTTTTTTTCACACAGCCATTTGTCAAACTGACGACACGTAATAAGAAAAACGAAAAAACGCGTATATTTCGTTCTCGTCTATCCTCGTTTTTCGACGTTTCCTTCGTGCCCGAAGGGCAATTTTTATTTATATACATATACGGTCTTTACCGATATCTCCAATCTTTGCCAACGCCAAACTCTAAACGCTTACCGACCTATGTCGGCACGCGTTGCACCTGGGAATCACAGGGTGTAACGAAAGATAATCGGTTCGACCTACTAGCTGTTTGGTTCAAATTACATCGAGGTAGTAACAACGAGAATCGCCTACGAATTTCAACATGAAAAGTATCAAAACGGATATCAGAAATACAAGCACGATCGTTCAAAGGGACAACGAGTTTGCGGGTGTGCGTGCCGAGATGTTGGATAAAAAGGGTTTTGTGCGCTTCGAATGTATTTTCGACGGCTTTAACGCGAGCCGTTTTCTAATGCCCATAAAACTCGTCGATTTTGAAAATGATTACAGCAGTGCTGAGTACAGATATGTAGGTAGTTAGGTAGATAAAACGCATAAAATCCGACCACAGGGGACGATGGCGAAATGAAACGGAGGGGAATAATAAAACCGGAGTTCATCGTCGGATCGAACGACGACGACGAGGATCTTGATTTTTACTGTCGTTCAATATCCTCTTCGGGCTTCGAATATAGATCGAGAGTCGCAGCGCTTCCTTTGGTGGTCCATAGGGCTAGTGCATTTTCAAAATAGCTTCGGAGGAATGGATATTGTGGTTACGAGACGAGAATATACTGGCCGTCACACGGAAATCGATATACCGAGCGTATAGCGAATGGGATTTCCTTACTACGATCAAATCCTTCCTTCCTATCTTTCTCTACCTAGGCGAGAAATACCGAAGGATACTCTCCCTTCTCTGTTGCACGCATCGCGATTTTCAGCGAGACGAGTTCGATCGTTTTACCGCTTAAATTCATCCTCTTCGCATATCTTTTATCGGAAAACCTTTTGCTCCATGATCTTCGCTAGAGCAATATTTACGTTTTCGAGGACTTTATCATTCGTCGTAATCGTTATTAAGTTCACATTCGTCATAATCGCAATTAAGTTTGAGAATGTATAATAGAATAGCGAGAAGATCTTGGAGAAAATAAGTCATTATTCCGGTCTCTCCGATACAACTTCGACCTGGCAGCCGTTCAACTTTTCCAAGAATTCTATGCGATAATTTTAGTGACGCCATGTGCACCGGTTGCACTACTAAAATTATTCCCATCTTGAAATGTAAAGAACAGATACGGAGGAAGACAATTTGTAAAGTTTCAAATTAATTGTACCTAATCGAAACGTCGAACAACTCACCTCACTTTACTTAGCTCCGAACGTGGTGAATCCTCCGGCGACTTATATCTCTTGCCTGGCTGTAACAGAGAAGAGAAAAAAGGAAATAAATAAATCGATAGATCATCGACTTGGTCGATCAATTGCTCGTGGCAAGCAATCCTGTATGATACACTTTCAAAAAAATAAAGTAAGCGTAGTGTTCGTTATTGCAAAAACCAATCACGGACTCGTTACATTATAATGCTTCACCGAGCAACGTCGACTTTGATAAAAAACAAGCAGATCTCCTGCGCATTCGGAATCGTCGAATAGCCGCTACCAACCGTCAGCCCTGTTGGTGCGCCGATTTTGTAAATGACGCGCGTGCCGAGTTAACAACGTTGAAAAGCCCTGGGAATAAAATTTTTGTCGATGGCCGAGCGATGTTTTGACCGATCAGAAAAACGGCTTCGTCCAAACCATGTGCCGGTGCGGCCAACCAGTTGGCGTATTTTCATCGAGCGATACGCATTATGAATTCACGCGTTACCGTTCGATTCGTTACCTCTTTCAAGTGACCCTAATATTCTTCTTCCTACTATTACGATAGAGACGTACAACTTGTCATATTTTTCTATTTGACATAACTTTTCACACGAATTAATATTTATATGTTTAGATTTTTTTTTCTTTTTTTAAGAATTATTACTCATTTCTTCGTTGCGACTCGGTACTCCACAAATTCTTCTTTGATAAAGAGATAAAAGATAAAAGGTAAGAAAAAGAAAATAAAATAGAGATAATGTAAGAAAGACAAACATGCGATCGATCGCGAATGTATGTTCCGTGCATCAAGTGTTTCTAGTTCAAGCGGATCTAATGGCAATTGTATGGAGAGTGCTTTGGCGTTCTATCGGTTGCAGGCATTGTAAGCGCGGGCTTAGGGCTGATGTGAAATCAGCCTAATCACCGGGAAGTGTCGCCACTACACGGTGCTAATCCGATCGCAGATGCTCCTTTCGTTCTCTCTCTCTCTCTCTCTCTCTCTCTCTCTTTCTCTTTCTCTTTCTCTCTCTCTCTCTCCCTTCATTCGCTCTCTCCCTTTCACTGTCTCCGACTGTCCATCCACTCGCATCCGGCCATGTCCCGTTTGTTCCCCTTCTTCCTCTCTCTCTCTCTCTCTCTCTCTCTCTCTCTCTCCCTCCCTCTCTCTCTCTCTCTCTCTCTCTCTCTTTCTCTCGCTCGCTCTACATTGCTACTCGCTCATCGCGTTTCACCCGCAGTGTTTGTTTGCGGCTACGTTAGTGTATCCTAATCGTGGTCGGCCTGCTTTCGTCCGAAATCTGCGATTGACGAGAACTACGCGTTGAATTAAACAATAGGACTCGCCTGTCTATCTTGTGCACGATTTCAACGTTTCCATTTGAATAAACAAGAAACGGGTAATGATAGCCCTCGTGTACGTAAACAGTACGGTGCAGAGTATTTTGTTCGTCTTCGAACGAATTCATTATTCTTCACGACTTTAGGCTAATGTTTTAAAGAAACATTATAGAAAGCTATATATTCTAAATGTAGCTTAGAGCAGACATTTCATTGTAAATCGCTTCTCTGCACATCTATAGGGAAGTGTCATGAAATTCACTGATGATGGACGCTTTCAAACCCGTACGAAATGCGGGACTATAACGATGCATCATTGAATTTAGTTATCTTCGCCAGCAGGAATCACAGGACGATCGAATATTCAAACGCATGTGAATTGTCTCGCTTGTTCGATTCGAAAGCGTGTAATTTCATTTATCTTTTTTTTCTTTTTTTTTTTTTCTTTTTATGGTTTGGTCAATAATTCAGTCAAGCTCTAGTTAAATCTGCTCTTTTTGTTCACGCAAACGGCACAAGTGAAGTATACAGGACGTCTCGGATTTTTCGTTCGAGTCTCAAGAGTCGGTTTAAAAAGATGAGAAAGAAAGAGGAAAAAAAAAGCAGAGAAAAAGCGTTGAATAAAAAAAAAGGAAAAAGAATAAGGGATAAAGATAAAAAGAGAGAGAGAGAGAGAGAGAGAGAGAGAGAGAGAGAGAGAGAGTAGGAAAAAGCGCGGGAAAAATGAGAAAGGCGAAAGAAAAAGAGCCGTGCGTGGAAAAGAAGGAAAAACGGTGTCGGCATGAGCGGAGGAGGTAAATATTTTTAAAGCGAAGAACGCGCGCGTTAGAGAGAGCCCCTCTCTAATTAGCTTGGTATACGAAGTGGCTTTTTGTTTAATTAACACGCTTGTAGTAAACTACAGCCACGTACTGCCTAACCCCTACTTGCTCGTTTCTTCTACAAGCCCATATTTTATACTCTCCTTTTTCAACCTTCAACGTGTCTTCCTCCTAACACTCGCCTTTCTCATTCTCTCTCTCTCTCTCTCTCTCTCTCTCTTTCTCTCTTTCCTCTTACCCTCCCTTCATCTCTTTCTCCTCTTTTCCTCAACGTCGTACTCGCTTTTCGTGATACATTCGATGAGTATTAGTTTGCTTAAAATTCGTATTCAAGGGTGTCGTGTTTAAAAAGGGTGTCCTCAAACGAACGAGTTCGTGCGAGCAAACGAGCTTTCTCTTTTCTTTTCTTCTCTCTTCTAGTCTTCTTTTTCAACGAGCTCGAATGCGTTAGGCAACAAAAAGCGAGACTTTCGATATCGTACTTCAATCGATTTTCTCTTTTAGCTTTTTTCAAAAGAAGACTACTTTGATTTCAATGACTGATTAAATCTCGACTCTGATAATTTTAATTCTATCAAAGTTACTTTTAGCCCTCTCTCTCTCTCTCTCTCTCCCTCTATCTCTTGAAAGTATTTGAAATTCATTAAAAAACATAGTGAAATATCGAAAGAAAAGAAGATACAATGTCACCTTGTATTTTTTACAATGACCGTGGCCGAAGTTCTTCAATAACAAGTTCTCCTGTTTAAAATCAGAAAAATTTGACCTAGCTCGTGCGTGCGCACCATTTGCGTGGCATTAACGCGGAATAAAATGAATAAGCGATTTAGAGACCAAAGTCGAGGTGAGAGTTTCGTTAAAGGCAGCACGATGACACGCGAAACTGCGTTTAATCCTACGCAGGCACGGACTACGAGCCACGATTCGGTTCGGTCTGCGAACAGTCTCGGTGTCGCTGGACGTTAAGTGCAGGTGGCGTGCTGTATTTATAGCTTCACCGTGACTCCTCTTTCTTCCTCTTTCTACCTCCTCCATCTTCTCATTCGACGTTGTTGCTTTATCCTAAAATCCTTCGCTTGCAGCTACCATGTTAACTATTAGCTATTAACGTTAGTAAACTTTCGAGTCTTCCTCGAAGATTAATTAAAGTCGTTCCATAAATGATTAAGAGTTATAATGTAATGGCGTAAAATGGAAAATGATAGGCAGGCAGCACACTACTAGACGAAATTATTCACTATTATTACAATTATCTTTTAATAATAATTATTACATTTCCCTTATCATAGAAATATCGAAGTCGATAATAGTATTATGAGAAAAATGGTATTACGAAAGATAAGTATTATCGGAACAAGAGACAATCAAATATTTAAAAGATGAAGAATGAACTCTGGAGATGGCTCTAGTAAAATTGACTCTCGACGTTTACGTGTGAGAAATCATTCAGAGGAATCGTCCATTTTAAATCTTCCCGCGTTACGCCCACGGAATAATCGCGATAATCGTACTGCGTCACGAATGGTATATATATATAGATGAAGGAACTAGCTGCTCCCGTAGTATGGTTGCCTTAACGAGGAGACTTCCTCGAGAAGTGGTCGAGTCGGCTTGCGAAGGGTTGCTAAGAGGGGTGCATGATAGGAAAACGCGAAAGTCGAGCGGTCAACACTTTTACCCTCGGCCGTCTCAACACCATCAGATAACATTCCGTTTTCGTCGTAGTAGTCACTTTCAGCCGGTGTTAAAACGGCGGCCGCTGTACACGCCGTGGTTAAACGGTTAAAGTCTTGTCCGAACTCGGTGAAACTCATTTGCTCCCGTACCGGTTATCTCTTCGTTGAGATCTTTCCTTCTCTCTCTCTCTCTCTCTCTCTCTCCCTCCCTCTTCCCTTCGAACCCTGTTGCCTTACACTCACACCATCTTCTTAACCTTCCGCTCTCTTACACCGATCGTTCTCGACTATTCTATCTGATTCTTTTCCTTTTCAACCCTCACAAACCTCTTCCATAGACCCCTTTGTATTCCGATTAGTTCTCTGTCTCGACTGCACAGGCCAAATTAATTTCGCTCGCCTCGTCGTTCGAGATACTGCTAATAGTGCGATCATACTGCGATTATGAATAAAATGTCGCTTGAGAAAAAAAAAAGAAACGAAAGATATTAAATGTCTTTTTTTCTTCCTTTTTCTTAAGATATAGAATCGTACGGAGAACACTTAAGTTATACGTTCGACGAGAGTTATAATAATTCGTAATCCATTTGTATGAAAGTAGAAAGAAACCCACGAGAGTTTCTCAAAGATCGTCTTTGAAAAGTGGAAAGAGATTTGATGCTTTAAGAAAGATGACAATTTTTCTTTTGCTCATACACACGCACCCATTCTCTCTCTCTCTCTTTCTCGCTTTCTATGACATCTTTCCGAACGCCGACACTGGACCCAGCAGCACCTACTTGCCGGAAAAAGGTCGATGATCGATGGTGTTTCTACGGGAACGTCGCTGTTTGTATACCATACCTCTTATGATCCAACGTGAATTTATCGTTAGAACGTTGCCAAAAGTTCTCTCAGAGTTCAAGGAGGACGCGATAGAAAAAAGAGGGGAAAGAAGAAAAAAAACGGACCAAGTCACCGTCATTTATATCTTGAACATTCGCGGTTTTCAGATCCTTGAAAATACCAAGATATGGAATTTTTCTTATAGAAAGAGAAATAAAGGGGGAGAGAAAAAGAAAGCATGTTTCGAGTTTTCAGAAGCATTCTATATTTTTCCATCGAATTCACGATAGGAAAGCTGAAAGAAGAATCGAGTAAGAGAAACATTCGTCGACAACAGCAAAACTAGAACGATACTCATGAATAATTTCATTCGGTTATATACAAGAAACATCG